GTCGTATATCAGTTGGCAGCTGGGCAGTTTTAAATCACTTTTTATCATTCTTTCTCTCTCTTACTTTTCCGAAAAAGTCATTTGAGAGCTTCTCTCTCTAGAACCTTGCCTTCTCTCTAGGTATTGATCTAGTAAGAGTTGTCTCCTCACCTTTGGTCTTCACAAAAGTTGTCTTGATCGTCGAGGGCATCGTTTTGATCCGAAAATCTTGGCTTTTGGAGCACTTTGGTTTTGGTCTCTTCTCCATCCGAGCTCTAGCTTCGAGGTAGGGATATCCTACTCCTCTTTATGAGTTTTGTCTTTAAATTTTAGCATTTCGATATGTTGGGGGTTGTTGGGTAATTTTGAGAGAGTTTGGGCCTTTGTGTAATTTTTCAAAAGTTGGGGTTTTAATTATATAAAACTTAAATGCATGTTTGGCATGAAGGAATGAAGTAAATGTTGAAACATTGATGAAAATGAAACCGTAAAGGGTTGAAATGTTAATTATGGAAAATGCCCTAATTACATTGATTGATTAATTTGTACAATTAATTGTTGGAAAATGAGGGATTGAATTGAGAATGTGGAAATTGAAAAGGGAAGGGATTAGAGGGTGTAGTTGGATTATTTATCGCTCACCTAATTGAAATGTCGATTTAATTTCCATTTTGTGCATTTATTTTCTGTTTAGAAATAACTGCTTTGGGCTATCGGTGGAGGATAGCCTTGATTGTTGTAGACAATGCATGATGATTAGGCAAATTAAAACTAATCGATTGAATGCGTCATAGAGTATGACGGCGGATAGAATACATTAATTTTATGTATTGATTGATTGTGTATAGAACCTTTGTGTTTATATGCATTGTGTGTAGAGGAGGAGATGGGAGATGTACTCCGCGGTTTAGAGGAAGATGGGGGATGTACCTCTAAACCGGATAGGATTGGGAGGAGATGGGGGATGAACTCCGTAGACACAGCTCATATGCTTGTCTAGAGAAGTGAAGATACAGCTCATAGGCTTATCTTTGAGAAGTGTAGATACAACTCATATGCTTGTCTAGTGAAGTGTGGATACAGCTAATATGCTTATCTGTTGATGTGTAATATGCTTATCTGTTGATGTGTTGATATAGCTAATATGCTTATCTATTAAATAAAGGTGGAGAATAAAAAGTGACATAGACATGTATGTTATGAAATTGTAATGTGACAGATGTGGATGAGTTAGTGTTGGCCATCTATCAATTGCTAATCTTTTAGTCATTGTTCATAGTTGGTTTAGTATATTTCTGCTGGGCTGTGGCTCACCCTATATGGGAACATCATTTTCAGGTACAGGTAGCATGCCACCTCCAAGGACATAGCTTGGGAGGCTAGAGGCGGACAGACTTTTATTGTCTTATTTCCTTTTGATGTATTACATGTAAATTCAAGCCAAGGGCTTAATGTGTAATTGAGTTAGTACTCTCTTTTATAACCAAGTGTTAACTTGGAAAGCTGTAAGCCCGTAGGGCATTTTCGTTTGTTGTTAACACGTAATACTTTTGAAATGAAGTACTCTGATGAATTGAAGAATGTGGATCTTTTGTATATAAATGTATGTTTATATTGATGGGTTTAATGTTGTTATTTTGAGGACGTTACATATTGGCTTATTGAAAATTTAATTAACAGTTTTACCATTTGGTTTCAAGAAATAAATCTGAAATTGTCAACTTTTTTCAATACGAAAGCTATGCAAACCAACTTTACAAAAATACGCTGCTACAGCCTTTGGGGGCGGCAACAACATATACATTTTTTAGCTTCATTTAGTATTCAATTACACGCAAAGCCAAACAAAATGTCTCCTTCTTCACATTTGACTTTAGCAATTGAATGTGTTAATTTCAAATCAAGGAGTAGTAATAGTATTTACTGAGATCTCTCATGGAAGTGGTGAACTTTGCTGGTCAAATTGTAAAGGTATATATGATCATAAATTTTTTGAAAATACTGTCTTGAAAAGTACCCAAAAAAAAAAAAATACATTTAGCGATAAAATTTTGAAAATGTCCTATATAAAAGTATATTTTGGGACAAAAACAATTTTGTACCATTAAGTTTATTTTTGTGACAAAAAGTTTGGTTCCAAAATATAGTAATTCATTGCTAAATTTTCAATTTTGTCGCTAAAAATACAACAATGACACTTTTGGCAACTTAGATAATTCGTCTCTAAATTTTTCTCTCTAATACCTTAATTTGTTGTCGTGACCAGATATGGGCAAGTTCGTCCATTTTAGATTAATTTGTGTAATCTAGGTAGGTATCTTGAGGCTTTGTCTCAATTTGTTGCCTCTATTTTAGACTTGGTTGGTTCAAAATTCTGTTTTGTTGGGAGTGTTTTTAGGCACGGGTGTGGTTCATTGTCTTTGAGCTTCCTCTTCTAATGAGCTAGATGTCCAATGGCTAATAGCCACATCACATATGGGATTTATTTTATCAATCAACAGTGAACCTTGTAGCTGCAACTCAACTAAAAAGAGCACAAAGATAATGAACCATACTAATTTCATACTTCTTACTTCTATGACGACATCTATGTCCTAATACAGAAAAAGAACTTTCAGACAATCCTAACAACAAATGTATGTCCTAAAAAGATTTATTCACTGAAGAAAAGCCTCAGCAGTTATATAATCAAAGATGAGAAATTGAAGGACTGCCATTCCATGTTACTTGCAAAGAATATTTCCATAAAAAATTCGGGGTAGATTTGGATTGTTAAAATATTTTGTCAAATGAAAATGGATTTTTCTTCTTTCAGATTCCGTTCAATAAGGAAGGAGATATTAGATCAAGTCTTGGATAGTGGTACTCGGCATTTTGCAAGAAAATGGAAGCCTAATATGTATTTGTTAAAAGAAAATTTTGAAGAAGGTGCCAGTACAAGCACTGTTTTGTAATATCTGCTTAGAATTTTGGGCTGAGAAAGGACTAGTAACATTGCTAGTGCCACTTGCAAGCCTTTGTGTTCTGGCTGACGTACCAAATCTTGCAAAAGATTTATCTTTCTAAGAATCTGCAATTGAGGTGGGTTTTTATTTTATGTTTCCAGAGAAAATAAAGTTGCAGTTCTCCAGTGTTGATAGTTGGATTAAACCAATCAAATATCTTTGGAAACCCATTGGAGACACTAAATGCAAATTGTTTGGGCATGATGAAGTGAAATGCTTTGTGGGAAATATAATGAAAATCAATGGAAAATGAAATCAACAAATGACAATCCTAAAAAGGAAGAGTGGGTCATTATTACTTTGAAAATTAAAATGAAAAAAAAAATTGAGATCAAGGAAACGATGGACATTGGGGAAAGCTCAGAGACTGTTTTCGAAGAAATTTTAAAGAAAATGGATTGTCAAATACAAGGTGCTATTAGGTAGGCCTTTCATTTTGCTACATTGATGATATTTCTTAGGACCTATTGGTCAATGATAAATAGTGTGAAGAAAATAAGCAGCTTGAAAGCAGATTAGAAGGGGAATGATGCATACTAATAAATGCTTTCCAAATTGAGAACACATTAAAGAAGTGCTTAGGAAGTAGTATAATTACCTGATGCTAATTAATGAACCAAGATTACAACTAAAAGACCTGTCAATAATACCCATACCTGATTTGAAAACAATAAACTTAGAGATGTTAGGAAATTCATAAATGAGAATAAAATGACCCTACTAGAATTAGTGGAGAACAAAATACGGTTCGGAAATAGCATCAATATTGCTCAGAATTGTTAGCCTCTAACCATTACAATATATTTCATAATGCTAATGAAAATACCATTGGGAGAATTTGTGTAACGCCCTCAAAATAATAACAATAAACCCATCAGATAAAACATGCATTTACATATAAATTAACCACACTGTGGGTTGAAGATAATCTTTTAGTGGGTTGAAGATAATCTTACACAGTTTTTTTTCTTTTTTCCCTCCACAAATACCCCCTTAAATCTGTTATCCAAACACAACTTAAAAGTTTTAAAGTTGCAAACCTCTAAACAATTACTACTTGCAGGGTTGAATTTCTAGATAATAATATGAAGTCTTGTTTTGTATACCCCCCTAGGATGAAGATACTCTCAAAGAAGTCGAAGATGAGTTCTTGGCTCCTATAGGTTCAGATCATTGTGCTCCTGTTGTTACTTTGATGCCTGAAATTGAATTGCGAAAACTTTTCAAATTCTTTAATTATTGGATGAGACCTGGGAATATCAAGCAGATTCTTCTAACTTTTGAAAATTTGAATAGTAACATGTTCTCAAGTGTTGAGAAATGAGTCCTAAAATATAAAGACTCTGTTCTTAGAGAGTTGAACAAACTGCTCTAACTTCAGCTTGAGAGTGCTTTAACTCACCATATAACCATAATGAACAGGAGGCCGTTCAGCGTCATATCAATCTCTATGTTTCAGAAGAATCATTCCACAAGTCCAGAATAAGATGACAGCTTTGAATATATATATATATGGTGCAGATATATTATGTATGTCCACATATATGTATTTATGTCTTTTTCCCTTGACAATTTTATACTTGACTCCATAGTTTTTTCTTTTTTAATTTTAATTTTGGCAGGTATTATGTTCCAAGGTCCAAACTAGCATTTTGCCCTGTTTTTTTTTTTTTTTTTTTTTTTGATCGGCATGACAATTTTATACTTGACTCCATAGTTTTTTCTTTTTTAATTTTAATTTTGGCAGGTATTATATTCCAAGGTCCAAACTAGTATTTTGCCCTGGGAACATCTACTAAACTGAATACAGAATCTGAACTTTGTTCAAGTAATTGTGCTTCTACATCATTTATACGATCACATAACAAAACATACTCTCTCTCTCTCAAGAATGCTCTTGAAAAGTGAATACCATATGAACACTCAATTAGGCCATGTGGCACAGAGTAGAAGAAAGTTAAATTCTAATCAATCAGCAACCTAACCACCTATAAATGAAGATGTGTATCCAGGGACTTAAAACAAGGCTCAGGACTTCTTTCATATGTATTCATGTTGTTTCATTAAAGAAACTGCTACACTGCCAAAAAAACAGCACTAATTTGCCCTTAATGTACAAGTTAATAGGTGAACTAATTGATTGGTGGGACATCTAATGGACTAGAGAATTGGATAAAACAGAAATTGTGCTGATTTAGCTATAATACAATCAAATAGCTACAACTCCAATTGTTTATCAAGGCAGTAAGCAATAAAATACAGTAGAAGCATCATGGTTTCTATTAGAGAAAATCAACTATCTGATTACATTCCGTAACTTGGAGTGCCCAAGAAATTGTAATAAAGCTGTGAATGCCGACAGTGCATTGGATGTTAACTGCTGAAGTGTGAGCAAGTTGGATGGTGTTGGACCCCTTGCATGAGTTACTTCTTTTTTTATTTGGATAAAACGGAGACAGCTAATAATAGGAATGTTCTAGAAGGATAGGAAGTTTAGCAGGCAGAGTCCATCCAAAAGATTCATCCACTATGTTGTCAGCCTCAAATGCTAAAGCATTAACCCAACAGTTTGCTTCTCTTCTCTTCCAAGAACACCGTAAAGGATTCAAGCTGTTGCAAATTATATTAATCACCTCCACAATGTCTCCAATAACTGAAATATCTCCTGAACAATTCTGAAGCAGAATCTTCAATGCAAAACTGTATACCACAAAGCATAGGGCTTCAATATATGACCTAATCAACATCCAATACAAAAGGTTAGAAGGCAATTTTTAATTTTTTACCCTAAATTTGGTGGAGATAATTTTTAATTTTTTACCCTAGAACTTAGAAGGGCAAATTTCATTAATAAATAAAATTGAAGTTAGCAACCAAGCTCAAGCTCTTTTGAAGGAAAACACAAGTAAAGGACCAAACTATATCATTTCATTAACTATCATTACTTGGAAGTCATTTCATTTTTTTTCAAATTATATTAATCACCTCCACAATGTCTCCAATAACTGAAATATCTCCTGAACAATTCTGAAGCAGAATCTTCAATGCAAAACTGTGTACCACAAAGCATAGGGCTTCAATATGACCTAATCAACATCCAATACAAAAGGTTAGAAGGCAAGTAAATTTGATTAATAAAAAAAAATTGAAATTAGGAACCAAGCTCAAGCTCTTTTGAAGGAAAACACAAGTAAAGGACCAAACTATATCATTTCATTAACTATCATTACTTGGAAGTCATTTCATTTTTTTTTCCAGCTTCATTAAGCTATTTCATCTCATATTAAATGACTTCTTAAATGGTCTAAAAAGACAACTAGGAATTGATTAGTGCAAGTTCTGCCATAAGGCCATTTTTTTACAATTAGACAAATTTCCCCTTTTCTCAAATTATTGGAACAAATAGGACCTTCTTGTAGTAAAAATATTACAAAATTTCATGTTCCTATGAGATGCAAGATTGGTGTTATATGTCAATTTTTCCAACTTTTCGAATTTTTTGATGAGAACCAATTTGACAATATTGTGTAATAACTAACATGGTTAATATATGAAAGAATGCCAGAGTGTGCCTTGGATTTAGATTCTCAAATGTAGTCTAGCATGCAAGGAGAAAGGTTTTAAAACTTGTGATATTAAACAAATTTATTGAAGTTTCAATGATCAAAATTCTTGCGTTTGAAGAGTGTATAGTAGGGAGGCTTTTTCAATTATAGTCTGTGGAAATGACTTCTTTCTCAATTTTCTTTTTCAATTGCTGGTAAGTGTATAAATAAATCAATTATACACTGCAAAATATACACATCTCATTGAGCCAAAACTCATTCAAGGGGCCACTCCAAAACTCATACCCTTTCATATCTACAATATATACTAAGATCTGAAATATTAACTTCATCACTGCATATATATATATTCAAATCAAAAATTTCATGCAAAATTTTGAGTGAAGAGAGAGAAGATCAAAGTGAGCAAGCAGGCCTTGAAGATAGTACAAATAAACATAAACACTACTATGATGAAAAAGTATAACACTTACCAGCAATGGAAGCCAAAAAACACGACTATAATTTGAAGTTTGATTTTGCAACTAATAGAAAATGTAGGTGCCTACACTATACAAATAATAGCGACTAATTAATCACAAACATATACATATACATATTAACCGCCCAAAAAATTTCATCAATAATACAAAAATGACTACTTACCTAACAAACAAAAATCCAACTAATTTTAACCACCCAAAAAAGTTTTTTTTTTTTTTTTGTCAATAATAACATACAAAAGCATTGCCATATCCCTTTTTTCTTGGAGTGAATTTAACCGTAAAACAATTAATTATAATAAAAAAATTTCAAAACTCATAACCAAACACATAACTCAAAACTTAATTCAAAAGCTATTTTTAAAACTCATAACCAAACACACAATTCAAAACTTTTTTTAAAAGTACGAAGAGGGCAATTTTTCTATCACCACCTATGAATAATACAAGTTAAATAACAAATGAGGATGAAAATTATCCATTCATTATTAAGGGAAAATTAAGAGAATGAATTGAAAGGAAAAGACAATGTTTAATTAATCAGCAACGTATTGATAATTTCAACATTCACAATAAACTGGAACTCTCTTACAATCCAAAAGAAATAGATAGTAAACTCCCACTTGTGATAAAATCTGAGATAATATTGGTAATGAGAAAATAAATAAATAAATAAAAATGGTACGACAGATTTTGTGTTGGTGTGTTTGTACCTTGCAGTTGGCTGCTTAAGCTGAGATGATATCTACTTTAGGAATGTATTGGATGATGGGCCAATATTGTTTCAGTATTGGATTAAGTTTACGTCCCAAGATCTCCAGTGACAAAAGCGAGGGAGGGAAGCCTTGTTCTGGAAAGGTCGCAAGCTCAGGGCAACCCCAGATACATAGATGCAAAAGAGAGGGAGGCAACCCTTCCTTTGGAAGGGACGCGAACCTAGGGCAAAACAAGATATCAAGTTTTTGGAGAGAGGTGAGGTTTTGAAACTCCTCATAAGAGAGTCTTTCCAGATTTCGGAAGCGAAAGAAGGTCAAATTGATGAGAGAGGTGGGCAGGAACATCCCTTCTTCTGGAAAGGACACCATATCTTCCCACGGCCAATCTTGGCCTCCAAGTACGAGTGTTGTAAGAGAAGAGAGTTTGTGCAAACCCCACTCTAATGGGGATGGAGGCGGAAGTGGAAGTTGACCGACGTCGTCTCCTCTCAAATTCCTGATTTCAAGTGAAGTGATGTTGGTGGGGAAACTCCCTTCCTTGACAAAGTAGGAGACCATTCCTGCCCTGCATTCATATAAACACAGCTTTTGAAGCGAAGTGAATTGGTTGATGTTGTTGTTCTGATCAGGACCACCAAGTGACAGGGGCTCCAGATTATAACACCATCTTATCACCAATTGACTGAGATTCCTGAGATCATTGGCTTCTGGTAAAGATTTGAGACTCCCACAAAAATGGATACAAATAGTTTCAAGAGATGGACAATCAATTTTTATCCCTTCCTCTGCAAAAAGTGACTCCAGATTTCTGCAACCCTCAATCCCAAGTTGTTTTAGTGTGGATGGTAGCCCACCTCTTGACAATAAATATGTGAGTGATGCACATTCAGAAACCTTCAACTCTTGCAGATTATTGAGTGTCATCAACTCGGGTAGGGACTCCAAAGCATCACACCTTGAAACGCTAAGTTCTCTCAGTCTAGATGGCAAACCTTTCATTGGAAAAGAGATCAGACTTGCACAACCATCGATTCTAAGCACCCCAAGAGATGTGTATGTGTGCAGATCTTGTGGCAGTTTCTTCAGCATTCCACACTCTTGAATTGTTAAATACTCGAGTCTCGTCATGCAAGGCAGCCCCTCATGTTGCTGCTTTTTCGAACCTTCTGCTTCTTTTTCTTGCTCTTCTTCAAACAAGCAAACCAGTTTGGGGCAATCAGAAATCTTCAAATGGCAGAGGGAAAGGAGACATACTTGCATTCTCACCTTATTTCGCCACAATGTTATGAGTTCTTGGCAGTTACTAATGTTCAATTTCTCAAGTCCCATCAAATCTCGAGTAAACCATGTTGGTAGGAATGCCAGGTTTTCAACATGAGAAATGCTCAAAGCAGTTACTGAAGTTGGATGCTTAGACATTTCATTAGCCAGTAACTTTTCATCAGTTGTGCTTGGATCGCAGAGGGAGTCAAGAATTGTAACATGGCTAATATCCAAGGTGAGGGAACCAAGTTCAATTGTGTTCTTCGTCCCTAAGACCGCTGGAAGGCTTGGGAGCATAACATTATTCATTGACAAGGATGCAAGTGATGGCTGAACGAGGCTCGAAACATCAATCAACAACTGCGGACAACCATCAATTTTGAGAGAATTGAGACAAGGAAGATCATTTGGTAATCTTCCAACAAGTTTGGGACAATTTATGATGGAAAGCTCACTGAGATGACCGAACGGCTGAACTCCCTCTGTTTCAAAAGCAGACCAATCCTCCCATTCTGGCATAAACTTAAAGCTCAGTCTCTCTAGAGAGGGGAAAGGTTTGGCACCACACTGCTGCCCAGAGAACTCAGAACCCAAGCGCTTTATTGCACTCATTCCTTCAATGTAAAGGTCTCTAAGCAAGGGTAGTTGTCCAAGTGGTGGCAAAGATGTGCAATATTTGCTACCTTTTAATCGCATGAACACCATTTTGGAGAATGAAACATCTCCAACCCAATTTGGAAATTTTGTACTGCCATACCCACTAATAGTGAGTCGTTCCAAAAATATGAAAGGTCTCATCACATCAAGCACATCCCTCTCAACCATGTCATTATGTGAACTACAAGATTCATCCCATTCTAGAGATAACTCTTTTAACTCCTTAGACGTTAAATTGGCATCCCTTGCATCCTTAACACCATTGACATTCTCTAGTCTTGATATGTGTATTGCCCCTCGAATGTGTGATAGGTTTTTCAACTCTCCTATTTTACGCCCACAATCTTTACCCACTATAAAATTTGACAATGTTTGGAGATTAGTTAATTTACCTATATGCAGTGGCATCTCTTCTGATGATGGAATATGCACGCCAGTCATGTCAAAATGGCGCAAGTTCACCAGACTGTCCACGTTTAGAGGCAACTTCTGAAGTTTACGACAATATTTCAAAAGCAAGACTTGTAAATTGTAGAGAGTTACCACTGTGTCCGGTAACCTTGTAATCCCAGAATTGGATAAATCAAGGTACCGCAAATGCTTTAGATCTCCAATGGAATTTGGTAGCTCATTTATCCCAATACTACACAAACGCAACTCATGCAAGCATTTTAACTTTGGCAACAAATCATGCATCAAGTACTTCGTTACAAAGTGACGTTGTCGTGGCAAAAATTCTAAGAATGTTCGTAAGCATTTGGCATCATCGAAAGCTTTAAATTTTTTGATTCCATCACAATGGCTAGCAACATAAGAAGCGTGGCGTGCTTTGTCCGAAATCTTGTTCTGCCTACCACCCTCTAAATTATTTTCCAACCTAAAACATTTGTTCCCTGCTACATCTTGAGCCAAATCATTGATGAGGTCATGCATTATGAATTGTGATTTGTTACCACTTGACGGTTGAAAAAATGATCTTGACACCAATTCGTGAAAATACTTGCGGCCTAAATCTTCCATTTGGTCTCCACCATTTGGTTTCTCAATTAAACCTTCAGCCATCCATAGCAAGACTAATTCCTCCTCCATGAATTCGTAGTCCTTTGGGATAATTGCACAGTAGGAAAAGCACCTCTTCAAATGGACAGGGAGATGAAGGTAGCTCAATTTCAATGCTGTGAGCGTGACACTTTCCTCATTCCATATATTGCTGTTTAGTATCTCTTTCCATTCATGTTCTTGTTTACAGCATAATAAGCTGCCAAGGGCCCTCGCTGCCAAGGGTAAGCCTCTGCACCTGTTCTCAACAATTTTCTTACCAATCGGTACCAATTTTGGGCATTCCATGATATTTCTATTCTCAAATGCATGTTGGGCAAAGATTAACCAACAATCGTCATGTGATAAGTTGTGCAAATTGTGATATTTATCCATTCCCATCTGCTTTGCAACACCTCTGTCTCGTGTTGTCACAATGATTTTACTTCCAGGTGCTCCAGCTCCAAATGGGGATCGTAACAAATTCCACCCATCACGTCCATAGTCCCACACATCATCTAGGACAAGCAAAAACTTTTTCCCTGCCAACGTTTTGCTAAGTTGAACTTGCACCTCATTTAAGTTACTAAAATTACATGAACCGTGAGTGAACGACTCGAGAATTGCCTTTGTTATTCTCATAACTTCGAAGTCATCAGATACACATGCCCATGCTTTTAGATTGAAATGCTTTTCCACTCTGTCATCATTGTAAATGTGCTGAGCTAGTGTAGTCTTGCCGATCCCACCCATTCCTACAATAGGAATTACATCAAAAATTTTTCCAGTAGGTGCATCCCCAAGTAGCAATTCCATAATTTGCTTGATGGCTTCATCTCTGCCATGAATGTGAGGCTCCCTCAAACATGTAGTTTGTGATCTCTGCCATAAATCTGTAGACATCCTCCCAACAAGAATTTTATCTAAACCAAGATCTTTTCCTTTCGTAGCAACTTCTTGTAATTGAGTAGTAATCTCTTTTAGCTTTGACCCAGTTTTTAAATTGAATGGAACAATAGAAGAGAGACGTGGAAACTTAGCTGGTCTTCTTCCCATCGTTGTCTCCTCCGCCATTAGCTTCCTTTCGAGAGCTTCAGTGGCAAAATCATCCAATAAGTCATCTGCATCATAAGCCAAAGGTTGAACCTCTTCTAGCCACTTTTTGATATCCTTGTCGTACACTTGTTTGTTCTCTGCATCAGCCAACAAAGCCTCTAAATCCTCCAATGCCTTCTTCAGATTCTGGATGCCAGTGCCAACGTCGGCTGTGCTCACTAAGTTGCTAAAATAAGAGGACAATTTGTCAACCATAGCTTGTACGAATGGAGAGATAAAGATCCCAAATACATCCATGGTGTTTGTTCTGAAAGAAGGAAAGGTAATGAAACCAAGCAACACAGATATCAAGAACAGACTGACGAACCTCTACAAACTTGGAACCGACTTTGGTGGTAAAGGTCAGAAATTGAGTCAATGAAGCAATACACGGATCAAGAACAGGCAGAACCTCTACAAACTTGGAACAACTTTGGCAGATAAAATATATGGAAGGTAAGAAACGAAGCAATACAGAGATCAAAAACAGAATTAAACTCTGCAAACTTCAAACAACTTTGGAATTGTAAAGGATCTGAAAAGTCAGAAACTCATCAAAAACAAACAGTTTGAAGAAGCTCTGCAAATGAGTAGTAGTTGAAGATTGTTAGTTGTGACCAAAAGCAAATGAGGAATTGGTGAAAGAAGGGGTATGAAGAAAAGGGTGATGCTATGGTACATTTAGATGTACCATACATTTAGTTATGAACTTATATGATTTTATGTCATAATTGTTATCCCAGATAGGCAACCCAAGAGGGGGGGTGAATTGGGTTATTAAAAATTTCACAATATTAAAAATAACACAATATTCAGAATTTTAATAAATAAAAAAAAAAAACAGAATAATAATTATCAATATAAAAGTAGAAGAGATAGAGAGAGAAAATCAAACACTGCGATTTATAGTGGTTCGGCACGCCAGGCCAGGGAACATGTTTCTCAAGGTCTTTGGTCATTCCGGATTCAATGATGAGCTCCATTTCTACAAATTCTGAATATTTTTGTGAGTACTAAAATAAATAGAATAAAATAATAAAAAATAAAGATATTAAAATAAAATCCTTACCACCCTTATTAAAATTGGGGGAAAATGGGATGTCAACCATAACCAAACTGTTTTGTGGGAAAAACGTTTTAAACCAACTCATATTTTTATATTATTATTATATTAAGCTAACATCTCATTTTTGTGTGAACACAAAAGGAAGCTATATGTAACGCAATTTTAAAAACCAAAATTGTATAAGAAAGAGGGGGTGAAAAAACACATTTTAACAACTGCGATGATTTTAACTTTCATTAATTGGAAGGGAAAAAAAGGAAAAAATCTCACACTACATGTGTGTAGAATTGCTTCAGTTTTGAGGTTGTTAATATTTCATTCAGTTACTGAAACAACTCTGATGTCATGTACTGACAATTATAATATATTTTCTTCAAAACTATATCAATATACACTTGGAGCATGCATTGCATGTGCCACGAGTCTCTTATAATAGTGTGTATATATATATATATATATATGTATTTTGTGGTATCAAGAAGTTGGGCTGATTTGGATTCATTTATGATTTCTGCCTCATATTCTATACTATGCAATTTATTCTAATAAGGAATTACCCTTCAACTACTTACTCATGAAGAAATGCTAGTTTTCTTTTTCTTTTTTTAAGGAGGGAATAGAGAAGAGGAACCTGGCAATTTGCATAGCACAACAGTAAGACTTGTACCAAAGTATCATATCTGATAAGAAAGCGCTTTGTTAGGTTTTGGTAATTGGCAATCCGTTTGACAAAAACACCATTCAATTGTAATTGTTTTCTTTTTTTTGTTCTATGAGGTTATGAGAGTTTAGATGCGAATCTAACACGTGTTGTGCCTGAGTAGAGGAGTTTGTGCTGACGTTTCATATCTTGACTTGAGCAGTCCTTGTTTGCTTCTTCTCTGACTAAGTATAGGGATTGAGTGCTAGGAAGCATGTTTTACCGCTCAGGAATTCATTCAATATCTCAACCTGCATTCTAAACTTCTGGGAAGCATGTTATACTGCTCAAGCGGTAGATGTTACGCTCAAGCGGTTGACCTATATGTGAGCACCACCTTTAGTCACACTGCTAGAGCGGTCTTCGCTTCCCTTTTTCGTATAAAGTGCATCGTTTGCTCATTTTAGGGTTGATCCCGTCTTGATTCTCAACGAGGAGTAAAAAAACGAAGTGTTCTATATTGGACAGTGGTTATATACGAGTTTCCTTGATGTATAGAAGGTGATCAATTGATCAACGAACTACATATTGACAAATATCTAGGGTTGTTTTTTGTTTTTTCATTCACAAAAGAGAGAGGTGTTCATTGGTGGATTCCGAGGAACTTGGGCCTGAAACTTTGGTGGATTCCGGAGTTGCTGATCATCATGGATTCGACATCGCCATTATGGATTTAACGTTGGGCAAATCAATTCCGAGGTGAAAATGGTGGTGAAAGAGGCACATTAGGTTCAGTCCAATTCAGACATGGATTCACTAGATAATTGAAGGTTCTCGTGTATAATTCCTTTTTGTCTTCTTAATAGATTGTTTTGTGTCTTTGGCCTGTGATTTTTTATCACAATTGGAGGAATCCAATTGTGATTTTTTCCACGCTACATTATTATGCCGATTTGTTGTTGATTGTTTGATTAGAATTGCTATTCATTGTTTAAAATTGAATCATAATCACAAATCACAATCTCGGAAATTTTTAGATTTTTCACGCTTCATACGCTAAACCAATCCTTGATCTTTTCTTATTGATTCTTCAAACACAAACAATAGTTAATTTTGGTAGGTAGTAGTGTACATTTGGGGTGTCATTTCATTTGTTAGGTGGTTTTATTAACTGGTTTAACACTCAAACTGACTGTATGCAAAGAATCTTTAGTTGCCAAAAGATAGTAATTCATTCCTAAATTTTCAATTTCGTCACTAAAAATACAACAATGACACTTTTGGCAACTAAGATAATTCGTCTCTAAATTTTTCTCTCTAATACCTTAATTTGTTGTCGTGTCCAGATATGGGCAAGTTCGTCCATTCTAGATTAATTTGTGTAATCTAGGTAGGTATCTTGAGGCTTTCTCTCAAGTTGTTGCCTCTATTTTAGACTTGGTATTCTAATGATAACATCACATGGAGACATTGGATAGTTCAAAATTCGGTTTTGTTGGGTGTGTTTTTAGGCACAGGTGTGGTTCATTATCTTTGAGCTTCCTCTTCTAATGAGCTCTAGATGTCCAATGGCTAGTAGCCACATTACATATGGGATTTATTTTATCAATCAACAGTGAACCTTTGCAGCTGCAACTCAACTAAAAAGAGCACAAAGATAATGAACCATACTAATTTCATACTTCTTACTTCTATGACAACATCTATGTCCTAATACAGAAAAAGAACTTTCAGACAATCCTAACAGCAAATGTATGTCCTAAAAAGATTTATTCAATGAACAAAAGCATCAACAGTTATATAATCAAAGATGAGAAATTGAAGGACTGCCATTCCTTGTTACTTGTAAAGAATATTTCCGTGAAAAATTGGGGGTAGATTTGGATTGTTAAAATATTTTGTCAAATGAAAATGGATTTTTCTTCTTTCAGATTCAGTTCAATAAGGAAGGAGATATTAGACCAAGTCTTGGATAGTGATACTCGGCATTTTGCAAGAAAATGGAAGCCTAATATGTATTTGTCAAAAGAAAATTTTGAAGAAGGTGCCAGTACAGGCACTGTGTTGCAATATCTGCTTAGAATTTTGGACTGAGAAAGGACTAGTAACATTGCTAGTGCCACTTGCAAGACTTTGTATTCTGGCTGACGTGCCAAATCTTACAAAAGATTTATCTTTCTGAGAATCTGCAATTGAGGTGGGTTTTTATTTTATGTTTCCAGAGAAAATAAAGTTGCAATTCTCCAATGTTGATAGTTGGATTAAACCAATCAAAATCCTTGGAAACCCATTGGAGACACTAAATGCAAATTGTTTGGGCATAATGAAGTGAAATGCTTTGTGGGAAATATAATGAAAAGTAGTTGAAAATGAAATTAACAAATGACAATCCTAAAAAGGAAGAGTGGGTCATTATTACTTAGAAAATTAAAATGAAAAAAAAAATTGAGATGGAGGAAAAGATGGACATTGGGGAAAGCTCAGAGACTGTTTTCAAAGAAATTTCAAAGAAAATGGATTGTCAAATACAAGGTGCTATTAGGTAGGCCGTTCATTTTGTTACATTGATGATATTTCTTAGGACCTATTGGTCAATGATAAATAGTGTGAAGAAAATAAGCAGCTTGAAGGCAGATTAGAAGGGGAATGATGCATACTAATAAATGCTTTCCAAATTGAGAACACAATAGAGAAGTGCTTAGGAAGTAGTATAATTACCTGATGCTAATTAATGAACCAAGATTACAACTAAAAGACCTGTCAATAATACCCAAAGCTGATTTGAAAACAATAGACTTAGAGATGTTAGGAAATTCATAAATGAGAATAAAATGACCCTACTAGAATTAGTGGAGAACAAAATACGGTTCGGAAACAGCATCAATATTGCTCAGAATTGTTAGCATCTAACAATTATAATATATTTCATAATGCTAATGAAGACACCATTGGGAGAATTTGGTGGGTTGAAGATAATCTTTTGGTAGGTTGAATTGAAGATAATCTTACACAGTTTTTTTCTTCTTTTTTTTTGTTTTTTTTTCACTTTCCCTCCACAAATACCCCCTTAAATCTGTTATCCAAACACAACTTAAAAGTTTTAAAGTTGCAAACCTCTAAACAATTTTACTTGCAGAGTTGAATTTCTGAATAATAATATGAAGTCTTGTTTTGTATCCCCCCATGGGATGAAGATACTCTCAAAGAAGTCGAAGATGAGTTCTTGGCTCCTATAGGTTCAGATCATTGTGCTCCTGTTGTCACTTTGATGCCTGAAATTGAATTGCGAAAACTTTTCAAATTCTTTAATTATTGGATGAGACCTGGGAATATCAAGCAAGTTCTTCGAACTTTTGAAAATTTGAATAGTAACATGTTCTCAAGTGTTGAGAAATGAGTCCTAAAATAAAAAGTCTGTTCTTAGAGAGTTGAACAAACTGCTCTAACTTCAGCTTGAAAGTGCTTTAACTCACCATATAACGATAATGAACAGGAGGCCCTTCAGCATTATATCAATCTCTATGGTTCAGAAGAATCATTCCACAAGTAAAGTCCAGAATAAGATGACAGCTTTGAATATATATATATATATATATATGGTGCAGATATATTATGTATGTCCACATATATGTATTTATGTCTTTTTTCCCTTGACAATTTTATACTTGACTCCATAGTTTTTTCTTTTTTAATTTTTATTTTGGCAGGTATTATGTTCCAAGGTCCAAACTAGCATTTTGCCCTGGGAACATCTACTAAACTGAATACAGAATCTGAACTTTGTTCAAGTAATTGTGCTTCTACATCATTTATACGATCACATAACAAAACATACTCTCTCTCTCTCTCAAGAATGCTCTTGAAAAGTGAATATTGTTGGATCAATCTTCTGTGTAAATAAAATAACTTAAAATAATTCAAACAAAATAAAATAAAACTTATAGAATTTA